TTCACATATATATCAATAGTTTTTCAACAATATGTGAAGGATATTCAACTATGTGTGTATCCTTCACATATTATTAAATATCTTTCACATATGTGTGAACAATATTTTCACGCATATGTGAAAAAAAAAGCTTTCACATCTATGTGAAAGCTTTTCACACATATGTGAATATTTTTCACATATGCGTGAAATACAATTACATATGTGTAAAGAAAGATTTTCACAGATATGTAAAGATCTCCTGGATCACACTCACATATGAACACATCATCCTTCAAAAATATGTGAATGTTTAGGTGATTATATGTAAAGAAGATGTGAAGTATAATCACCTAACTGTGAAGGAAAACCATTCACATATGTGTGAATGCCTTCACATATATGTGAATGTATACGTACATATCAATCACATATATGTGTCTCATAATCACATATGTGTGATTGTGAGGTTTCTCTCTCAAATATATGTAAATATGAGATACAGATGTGAAAGTCATTCACATATGTGTGACAGAGCTTGGTATATGTAATCTCATGGATCACACATATGTGAATGAGTGTCACATACAAGTGATCCATGAGATTACATATGCCACAATCTGTCACATGTGGGTGATCACAGAAATCACCCATATGTGAAATCTAAGGATCGAAATCCTGGGGTGAAAAGTTTTCACCAAATCACCCCAGGAGTATTTCTCTTCCCTATTAAATTCAATATCACCTCGAGACTTCACCTCAAGATGGAAGAAACACCAACTGTGGAGAACTCTGCCGATTGTACTGCTGCCAATACTCGTACTGCTAATACGACTACTCCTGATACGACTACTGCCAATAGGACCACCGCTGATCAGAATCCTGCCGAAATGACTACTGCCGATGCAACTACAACCGAATCTTCACTTACTTGTCTTCCACCTCCTGCAGGAGGCTCCTATGACACCAGTGCCGCCGCAGAAATCTTCCTCAAGAACTTCGCAAGTGATCATCATTACGCTTTATCATTGATGGATTCAAAGCCAAGGTTCAAGAAGTGGAAATGCGTTTTAGGACCCAATCAAAAGCAATTGCTGAAGCTTGTTGAAGATCCCCAGGCATTGATCCCGACTTGTCCTTTATCAGTTTCCGCCAAATTCGAAACGAGTGACCGAACCTGGACGATCATCGTTAATCATCCTAATCACGATCATGGCCCCATACCCAACTTGAAACCGCCAAAGCTCCCAAGTCTGGAACCCACCATTGCTAAGAAACGAAAACAACGAAGTGATGCGATAGTACTTGATCTTACTTATGAATCCGATGGCGCCGACGAAACTACTGAAGAGCCTGTAGATGATTACAAGACGCTGATCACCAAACTGAAGAAACTGGATGTGAATACCCGTGCATCGCTAATGGGGCGGTTCTTGCGAGATTGTGAGATTGCCCTTGAGGTTTGCAATGCATCAAAAGAACCAAAGGTTCAACCCAAGATTGTAAGCTAGCTTGTTTTCCTTCTTCTATCAGGTTGCTAGTGAAGATAGGAATCTGATGATTCGATCAAAAATGACTACCTCTTTAGGAAGGAACGAATCAACACAAAATTACCTCCGAATCTACCACCCCCAAAAAGGTTGAAGAGAACGGCAAGGTTAGTATATAGCTTTTAATCAATCAATCTCTTTGATTAGTCAAGTAGCTGAGTGTTTCCCACTGATAGCAAAAATCGAAACCAAAAGCCAAAGTTTCTGTACAGCCTGAAGCACCTCGAAAGCAGTCTGGCGACTGCAAAGTAGTTCACGCCCCGATTATGAATGAGGAAGATGATACCATGGCAGACAATGCCCCGGTTACGAATCAGCAGGATGATATTGAAGTGTCTACCTCCGAGAAGCAGCAAGAGGTTGCTGATCACCCTGAAAGGGATGATCGAGCTGACTCCCCTCTCACCTCTCAAGGTGATATTCCTTCACCTGTCACCGCTCGTACTCGGCAAGTGGCTCCTCCGGATAAAAGGTCGAGCTCTGTCAAAACTCGTAAATCGGTCAGAGTTACCTCACAAACTATGGAAAGTATAGTAAGTGGATGACTTTGAGAATGTTTGCCTTATCGATTATCTGACAAGCTGACTTTGATGCAGCAGGATCAGCCTGCAAGCAAGAGGCCGAAACGCTCCAAGGTCCCGAAGAAGTCTGAACCCATGCCGAAAAAGTCTGAACCCGTGCCGAAAAGGTCAGAACCTGTAAGTTATTATTTGAGGTGCTCGCTTTCATTGGTCTCCAAAGCTCCAGGTGGATTTCTCTATTTGGATTTTGCTGACATACCAATTAGTTCTCCCTTCAAAATATATCCTCCGTAGCAAAAGAAGAACTCGAAAAACAAAAACAACAAAAAAAAAAAAACTTGTAAATGCTAAACCGGAAGAACAGGTGTTGATAGTGAGTATCTCAGCTCAGTATATGTATCACAAAGAGTTTTGATATACTGAATCACCAATCCAAACAGAAATGGGATTTTTTAGAAACGCTTCCTAAGATACTCTATCCATTTGTCAAATCAGCAACAAATGTTAAACCGAACGGACTGTGTGCTTTTTCTTCTATTGCGGTATCCCTTGGATGGCCTGAACAGGATGCTGTAAAGGTGCGAGCATTGATGGCTGCCGAGGTGCGAGAGAACTATGAATGGTACGAGGAGAACTTGCCGAAAATCAGCGCGTGTGGCACGACTATCAGCCATATGTTGGCTATACTGGAAAATCGGAAAGGATACGCACCACGGCGATTGTGGTATCCAATGCCGGGTGGCTGTTGTGTTATCGCAAATACGTTCAAGAAACCGGTAATATCATATTCTTCCAATCTTACTGGATCATGCACTACACTCCCTTTTTTATCAGGCCCAAAAGGATCTACTCGACCCATCATTATGGCTGTCATCTGGAATTCCCACTGTATCTCTCTGGACCTCGAGTTCACTCCAACCCTACCGATTCCATACATCCATCCAGACTGGTCGACTTTGAGCACTCGTAAAGCTAAGGGTGGTTGGGAAGGTTTTTTTGATGATAATATTAAGGTGTATAGAAGATGGCGCAAGGAGTCCAATTCAATTGTTAATCCAAACTGTGCAAGGGGTGTGATATCGGATGATGATGATGAGGATGATGAGGATGAGGATGATGAGGATGATGATGAGGATGATGAGGTATGAGATTCTTGTAATATGGAATTTTTAACTTATCTCAGAAGGTAAGAAAGACAAACAAAATAATGAATAGGAATAGGAATGGTTTGGAGGTGCTTTTTGGAATACTAGTTTTTATATGCGGTTAGGAGAATATCTTGTAAATATGTCTGCTTTTATGTGTTTAGAAATCATAATTCAAATTTGAATTGCGTATGGGCATTGGGGATGAGCCAATCTTTAAATTGAACCACTTCAAACATTGAACCCAGATCTCATCACTTTCACATATGGGTGAATGGCCTTCACCCATATGTGAGAGTGATTCACATATGGGTGAATGGCCTTCACGCATATGTGAAAGTGATTCACATATGTGTGAAAGTGATCACCCATATGTGAAGGTGATCACTCACATATGGGTGAATGGCCTTCACCCATATGTGATCACTTTCACCTATGGGTGAATGGCCTTCACGCATATGTGAAAGTGATTCACATATGTGTGAAAGTGATCACCCATATGTGAAGGTGATCACTCACATATGGGTGAATGGCCTTCACCCATATGTGATCACTTTCACCTATGGGTGAATGGATGTGATCACTTGCAAATTCACATATGAGTGAATGTACTTCACCCATATGTTATCACTTTCACCTATGGGTGAATGGCATGTGATCACTTTCACATATGCGTGATCTGAGTGCACCCACATGTGAACATAATTGAATATGGGTAAATGGGATTCACCCAAATGTAATTATGTTGATGTATGGATGATTTACCTTTCTTCATTATCACATACATATATGAAAATGATTCCATATCTCAAACTCAATCAGATATTGGATACTTTTCACATATGGGTGAACCAAAATCACCCATGTGTGAACATGATAATGGCATTCACGCATATGTAATCATGTTGAGGTATGGATGATTTCTATTTGTGGTCACATAGGTGTGTTTCTTTGGTTTTGTATCTACATCTTCCATATCTAATAAATTATTTCACTTATATGTGTTGGTAATTCACACTAATGTGATAGAATTTCACACTAATGTGATGCAATTTCACCTCCATGTGAATGACATTCACATCAGTGTGAATTTGATTCCTGAAATTTCGCGTGGGTATATGTTGTCCTTGACCATATGACAATACGTGGGCATTGATGGTGTTACAGGTCCTCACAGGTCATGTAGCGGTGGATAGAGTACTTAGCGGTGAGTTTTGATCCGACGCGTCGGGGCGGAGGCGCGTCGGACAGGGGGGTTTCGGCTATAAGTCGATAGGAAGTACACATTTCCTATCGACTTATACCCGACGGGTCGGGTAGGCACAGGTGTATGAGCATCTTTGTCTGCTCTAGTCTGCTTGAGTCCCGTACTCCGATGCCAATTCCTACCCCAGTAGCATTTGGTGTAGAGATGATACCCGGAACGATAAATGGTTTTTATCGTAACGTGCGCCGGGTTAGCCTCAATTCCAAGCGTGATTTGACAACAATTTCCTATACGTCACGCCTAAGTATCACGCCGGAAATCCTCTGCATGAGCAAGATGATCCAACCCCAATCCAAACGGGCGGACAAAGTCCCCATCCTGGCCAAGCGCGTCAACAACGCAGATATACCCCAGGAATGACATTGCTTTCATTGAGAATGAAACGTGCCCGATATTGTTTACCAATCATTAACCCAAACAAAACAATACGCTCAGTTCAAATCGTTGAATTGATACACAACGAAATCATGGCACAAATGTCTCACTTACCAGTCGAAATAGTAGAGCATATTATGACTTATCTCTTTGACATGGCCAAATATTCACCGCTTGATGCCTCTAATAGCGCAGATACTCTGTTTTTAAATCAAAATTCTGTTACATGCTTACTACGATTACGATTATTAGGAAAGGTCTGGGCAAGTCTTATTCCAAAATTCGTGTTCAACGCCTTGGAACTGAGGTCTTCCCGAACACATAGATGCATAAGTTTTGTATTGGGAAGTAGTGTGAAACTATCGAGCACGATCCATTTGAAACGCCTCTTTTTAAATGGGATCACGTATCTACCTGAAAGCTGGTCTGGTTCCTACTTCAGCAAAATCACAGACAACAATTTGACGAAACCCGACTTCGAGCATCAGGACTCTACCAATAACTTGATTCGAATGAAAGATGCAGCCAATATCATCAGTTTGTGCGGAAGCACCTTAACCAATCTCAAAATTTGTTTCACGGACGCCGTTGGATTCTTGAACAATCTTGTAGAAGCAATTAAGCGCGTAACATCATTGAAAGTTTTAATCGTTGAAAGCCTGTCGTCTCATAACAACACGAATGATTCGGATTCTTTCATAGCCGTGTTGAACGCCACTTATGCGCTGGAATCTTTGACTATAAAATTTGCAACTTTAACATCTTTGTCTCTGGACCCGGGAGCTTTACCTAATTTAATCCATCTGTGCGTAGATTGCCATGTTTCAAATCACAGGGCAATAGTTCATTTCTGTCAACGTCGCAAAAGTTCAATCAAATTGCTTGAGTATCAACCAAAAGATTATGCGAACGACGAGACGCCTATGCTTTTAGCGCTCCAGGATACACTCGAAGCTATCTCTGTTATTATGATGCCGGACGACATCCCACTTGAGCTCCGGAACAGTTCATTCCCAAACTTGAGGATCTTGAAGAACATGTTCATCAACCCACGCCATGATTACCCACGATGGTTGGGATGGGCCATTTTCCGAGAAGTAGAAATATATATTACATGTTATTCTGAGACGGCACACTATTGGCGCGACAAGTTTGAGCAGTATGATGGGCTAGAATTCCCAAAAAAATTGAGCCAATTTATCTTCTTGACTGAAGACAACCATTCTGTGAACGATGAGGCCTTGGCAGGATTTCTGAACCGTCGACGTATCAAGTGCCGTTTCGAAACCCAACTTAGCTATTCTCAAATTCTGGTCAGTCCTTGACCCTGACTTTATTATCAATACTTATCTTTATTCACCTTTGGGTTTATATTCTTCCTGAAACAGAAATCAATTAAAGAACCCAGTGATAATTTGCTCACTGTAGATTTCGGAGTTTTGGCGATGAATTCAAGCCGGCAACGAGCAATGAAGGTAGATGCAAAGTTCTGAGAGACCAAGTAGACTTGGTGGTTTTTCTCAATCACATTAGCGTATCATTTGTCGTAGTGAAAAAAAAAGAAATAGACTTTTAAGACTTGACTTGTGATTCAAAGCTCCGCCGAGCGCCAAACCCAACGCTAGTGAAACTACCAAAGTTTACAAAAACAAATCTGCGACGTTTTTAATGCTTCGTGGTCCATTATTTATTAACGTACATGTTTTGAATTGTTCAGAATTTAACATTTTTTGCTCATGCAACTCTTTGCTGATTTGTGCATGAGCACGACAACCTTTTTTGATAACCCAAACGGTGATAAACGCATTACTGTGCACTTATTTTGGTTGAGGCTTGACTATTCCTATTCTTTTGTATTTTTAATCATTATGCACAATTTTATTACATTAAGTCAACAATTCAATACATTCATTCCAGGTTGTTCTAATACAACAGCGAGATCAAGCTCAAATCTTGCTAAGTTCCACATCCCCCAAATCAACTGCTGCCCTTGATAAACAAGGCGCGTCATTTGCTTGAAGACGTATTGTTATTCATGATCCTGTACACTATCAACTCCCGAATGAAACATGTCCGCAGCTAGCCACGGTGCAATAATTGCAGAGATTGTCCTCGGACTGACTCCTTGCAATTCAAGTGAATTCAAGCTAAACATAATCTAATATCACCATAATCACGTCGCTTTGCATGACTGAAGCTTTCTATTCCAGATTAACGTCGGGCTTGCCTTCGTATTCAAGCCAAAAATAAGTTAAAGCTTAGACCACTATACTCCGATTTTATTTGAATACCTAAACTTACCTGATACCTTTCTTCGACTGCAGCTGTGCATGAGCCCGGATTCATCGTTCTCAAGCCCCCTTTTCGACGCGTCTTGCTTTTGTCCAGACGCCACGCTCGACGATTGACCCGCGAGGCTGCGATCGGCTGATTGTTTAGTCTTGCTTCCAAAATGTGCGTGCGCAAAGTGGTCAACCGCTGAGCCACAAATTCACATTGCAAACGCAATACATACTAAAAGACTCGTCGGCGTCGAGCCTAGCTATGTCTTGTTCGGTGAAGACCCAAGGTGTCAACACGTCAAAGTCGGAGCTGATGTATTCTACAGGAATATGTTCTTTAAATCAATATACAAGATTCGCTGTCATGCATTGAAACCAAACTAACCTGGAGTTCCTTCCATCGCGATCACTTCGTTCCGTGCCTTGGCCAACCTCTCTGGCGTCATCTCAAGCATGCTCATGCTATAATCTTTGCCTGTAATTACTCGTCGCCAAGTCCAAAAAGGTGGAGCCTTTTTGACCTTGCTGGTGCACCCGTCACCGCGGTCTCGACGATGCCCAAAGTTGCCGCAATCGAAGCACTGGTCGTATCCAGCATGGATCAGCGGGTGTGCCATAGGCCCAATTTTTAACGGGCGAAGTTTAGATTGATCACGGGGAGACAGGCGGTCAAACCACGCAGAGTTGTCCTTTTCTTCGACTTGCTTTGATTGGAAGGGCATGTTGTTAATCGTAAGATTCGACCAAGTCACTGAGGGCTGAGCTTTCGCTCTCAAGGCCTCTCCAGGCAAATCTGAAATGAACAAAGTTCACATATAGAACTGCCTCTAAGATATCTTATATCTTAACCTGGTTCAGTCAGAAACCCTTTACCTCTTTTAATCATTCAAACTTTGATTGCCCAAATATGAGCGCAATGTACACGCATTTACCATTTAGTCTCAGCCATTATAACATTGATATACATTCTTACTTATCGCCATCCTCTCACAAACAACATTTTATACGTGGGTGGTACCTCTAAGGTTGTGACGGGCATGAGGCGGTAAACTAAACAGGAATTATCTCGAAGTCTGTTTTCAGGGCAGAGCAAGTCAAAAGCTACGGTATCACAAATGCTTCCTATGCTTGGCTCGTTGTTACTCCACAGAAATGTTAACTTTTTAATCCGAGCTGCTCGTCCTACGCGTTCAATCCACAAAAAAACTCATCATTAAATCGGCGATTTTTGACAATCTATATCCGAAAATCTACATACGTTTGATTTTGTATCAGCCGATCTTTATCTGCAATCTCGTTCCAAATTTCTCCATTTCGATCTACCGACCGTACCTGATCGCGAAACATCGCCCAAGTCAGTTACCCAATGACAAATCCAGTATATTGCAGGCTCTGCGTGTTGCCACATTTTTATAGGCGGACCCATATCTCACATCCTTGTCACCATAATCCCCATCTCCATTCGCCAAGTCCTGTTTTTCAAGAGCAATCAAAGGAGCCATTAGTGGCTTAACAATTAATGCAAGAGGATGGAGTTGTACGCGCTATGACTTCTTTGTAAGATAGGTGACAAGTAAAGATACACTTGATCCCATGGGTTTTGAAAGCATCAACCATTTCAGTGTCTGCCAATTCTTGACCTTTAGAATTTACGAGCACGATCCGCTTGAATTTTGATGGTAATGTGATCGGGTCTCGTTGAAGTAATTCTAAAAGCCGTTTCCAATAAGTATTCGCATGCCAATAGCTGATGATAAGCACCTCCATGTTTTTGAAAATCGGTTTCTGTAACCAGGCGTATCCTGATGGCGAGGAAATACACGTTATGCAACGTACTACTCGAAGGTTATTAAAATTCAAGTTAATAACACCTCTAGGAATTCGACCTGGGATAGGATCAATGAAAACGGCTTCGAGTGATTCCTTTAGGGCCATTATGATCCGACTGCATTGATCACGAGCTCCTGGGCTTATGAGCTTGAGGAACCTAATTTTCCTTCCCTCTGCGGCGCATAACTCAGTGAAAGCCAAAATGTTATCCGGGTTAGTCACTAAGCAAAGATGTGTTAGATTGGGCAGGGCTCCAACGTCTAAGCTTAAGGACCCCAGCGAGCTGCACTGGATTGATAGTGACTCCAATCCAAAGGTTGAGTTAAGCATAGCTCGGACAGAGATAGAGTCGTTGAGGTTATGACCGGATTTGCTGCCGACAATTCCTAGTACCTTGAGACCTTTAACACTGCTAATGGCGTCTAACATATCTTGGGAGAAACCGACTGAATGTACGAACTTGAGTTTTAATTCTATCAAATTCTGATTACACAACTTAATGATTTTTGCCGCCGAATCCATTGCGATTGGCGAAGGATTGAGCAAGAGCCTCGCCGAGTGAGTGTGGCTATTTTCGTGGCTGCAGGACGTGTTTGCGCAATGACCAGTGGGATAGTCCGATGAAAATAAAAGCCCGCCGAAACAAATGCGCCGTAAAGCGTGAAAAGTACTGAACTGGGACGTGTTGCTCCACGATCCTAATAAAATCCCAGACTTTCTCGCCGTGTTCAGATATAAAGCCTTATACACAAAAGGTACAATAGCTGCGCTCCAGGATTTTGATAACAAGCGTAAGGCGAGCAAGTCCCGCGAAGTCTCTGGATGCAAATATGATTTGCTCGCACTATTCAAAGGGTTGGGCTCCACAACTCCTGTGCTGCCGATGTAATGTTTGATGATCAACTCGATGACTTCTACCGGTAGTTGCCCGATGCTTGTAATCGCTTGAGTTGATAAGTTATTTGGAAACATACTGATTCATACTACTGTAAAACAATACAAAAGCCAAAATGCTGGGTAAGCTATGATGCGGCTGTTGAAGACGCACTTCTGATTGACGAGCTCAACTTACCTATTTTATTTGCCCCGTGGCGAGTTTAGTTGCCCAGCATCTTTTGACATTGGGATAGGCACCGATGACGACTCCGATCCCAATTTCAACCAACGCTTTGTTTATCTATCGCAGGCAGCATGCGTATGGCACTCGATCGCTCCGAGGGAAGATCTCAATAGGAAACATACATGCACAACTGAGGAGAAGGGCTGTGCATGTTCATCTCTCTTCATGCTTTCGTCGCTAAATTCTGTCACATAGACCACGGTGTCTCTGCGACCGACCGACACGCGGTTCCCGAGTTAGTTTCGTATCCTTTATGGGTAGATTAGAACATGAATCGCACATGATCAAATGGGCCATTATCAAATTGAGTCTGTGACGAATTACATTTAACTCAGGCCACGTTGTTTATCTATGTGCCGGCACGATTGGCGTCCCAACTGCAAATGTCCAAGGATCGCTAGGACGGTGGCGTTGACATGAAAATGGTACAAAAGTGCTTCCTTGTTTGGTTATGAGCAAGGTTTTAAACCAATGGCAAAGGAATATGTGCCTGCCACCCATTGCCGTCCTATAAACTGGATGCATCTGATCTTTGTGAGTTGCATATTGATCATATTACGAAATCATAAAAACAATAATCAAACAAAAACTTTCACGCGGTTACATGGTTCATCTTTTGGAAAGGCATTTACTACGAAATAATTACAACAACATTGAAATTTAGCCAAAGGCTTGAACCCGCATACAACTTTTTTACTTTGACATATGAGTACTCAACTTGGTTCAAGGACCATGCTAATAACACTGGGTCGCGCGACTCATTCTAAAATTAATGCATTATGACACGAACTCGAGCCAAAACATTGCCCAAGCCGAGTTTTGCGTGTGAGGCATTCATGATTCAATCCATGAGAACGGGGTGATACACAATGTTTGGAGTTACCAAATCTTCTGACATTGAGGTTATGCACACATGAACATTGGACGCATTGGTACACCTAGATAGGGCAACATACAACTGACCATGTGCAAAGACCGGTTCAGGTAGTAAGACTGTCACCTTGTCTAAGCTCTGACCTTGGCTTTTGTTGATCGTCATGCAAAAAGCTGGCGCAATGGGAAACTGATATCGATTGAAAGGGATCGGGCAATCGTCGTCCCCCCTATGTGAAAGTAATGTTTTTGGTAAACTGATCGCCTTTCCTTTCCTCTCCCCTGTTAGGATTCTGCACTGTAGTGCATGTTCTTGCCAATCCGTAATTAAAAGGCGTGTGCCATTGCATAGTCCATCGCCTAAATTTAAATTACGTAGTACCATAACTGTTGCGCCAACTTTTAACTTGAGGATGTGAGATGGGAACCCGGGGAAGTTGAAAGAATTCAATATGTCGGCCGAGACTCCTTCGTAGAAGCTATCATCCATCGTGTCGGTCGATACTGAGGTCCGCAGCCTTCCCGGCAGTAAATCCATAACGTGCTTGTTCACAGCTCACACTGTAGCATTGAGCGGGGTTATTAAGCAGTGAGATGCGTACAAATTGGTCAATGTATTCCAGTCGCTAGCGTTGACCAGTTCAATGACTCCATTATATTCTTCCTCAACTATCTCGGGTTCGAATATTGTTGGAGGCCGCGATATAGAAATGTTGCAGTACATGATTGACGCCGGACATACATAATCCTCTTGCAAAGCACCTGAACCTAAGTCGAGTAACCATTTCGAAAAGTTCACATTCATCGGATTCTGACAATATTCCAATCCCCCAAGACGTATATTGACTGTTAGCTTGAACTTTTGTATGTCTGCCCACAGGTAAGAAGCCTTGAGCGTGGCATTAGCTTGACTAAATAAATTGCCCCTTTGCACTATAGGTAATGTCTGACGAAAATCACCTGCAACGCGTTCCACAATATTAGTATGATTTTAAATAGACCATGTTTTGCATAAACTCATGCAGTTCTTAATTACCTGCGAATAAGATAACCTTTCCGCCGAAGGGCAGGTCTATCCCTGTTAAGTCACGCAGAGTCCTGTCAACGCTCTTGACTGCGTGTCGATGTTGCATTGCAACCTCATCCCACACCACAAAGCAAACAGCTCGGAGCATACGCCCTATCTTGGTATTAGGCGATATGGGACACACAGAGTCTTCGAAGATGGGGATTGGGATTTTGAAGGCGCTGTGTGCAGTGCGGCCATTTAGTAAAAGAAGCGATGCGATCCCGGCAGCTGACACGGCCTCGAAGGGTAATTCGTTACCATTGCAAAAGTGAAGTATGGTATTGAGCACGAAAGTCTTTCCCGTACCACCAGGCCCGTCAAGGAAAACCATACGCGCCTCGTTGCCCTGGATAGCTTCAATCACGCATTCTACCACGCGTCGTTGTTCATTTGTAAGTTGACGCGACATGTTCTCGTATTTGGTCCTGCTCTCGCTTGGTTGAACAGCAAACGTCGTGTTGATGCCTTCCCCGTCTGGTAAATTAAGCTCCAGCATTAGATGTCTATCTACAGGCATGAGTCCCACAGATTCTAGATCACTCTCCATGCCGAAAAGTGTTTTTTCCAGCAAGTGTAGGGCATAAATTTGAATATGCTCGAGGCTGGGCCGAGCTCGAGGGTTCAATCTTGAGATCTTGTGTTCGCAGTCATCTGAAAGAGCCTCGATATGCTCCGACCAAAGGTGCATTGGATCTGATGGCGCACTATGGCACAGGATAATAGCCAACATCTGCCTCAGTTGGTGTCCCGTCTTCCAAACCGCCGCCTCGATAATTGATTCATGATAATGCCTGTCGTTCAGAAGCAGGCCATGCTGGTCCGCCGCCTCACGAAAGGTATTGTACACGATCCCGTTAACAGTTCTGAGCGATTTAAACGAGGTTGGTCCCGCAACGTGCTGTAACAAAAGGCGTAGATAATAAATGTCACCGCGTCTGACACCGGCATAGTAAATTTGACCTATCGATTCGAGTTTGTTTTTCCTTGCTTGTAATCTTTTCGTTTCTTTAACCCATCTAAAATGCTTAGGCACGTCTTGATATTTTATTGATCTTATCGTTTCCTGTGATCTTGGAAGCCTGCAATTTTCGCGACACAGCCTGAAATATTCAGTTAAAGTTGTTCTTTGGGCGCAGCCCGTGTCTAATGCCCTACAAAGCCCAGCTTCATCGAGATAATAAACCGTTTGGGCATCCTCCAGATGTAGATTAAGCCTTTGAATTGCCGGGTATCGGCCCGAGATCTCATATTGCAGAAGCCTCCACACAGCTGGCAAGCAATGAATCAGCTACAGTACGAGACGAAAAGATTTGAGAACTTACCCTCTGGCGCGCTGAGAAAACGCGCGTTGAGAAAAGCTAAAACCTCATCTTTATTGCTTTGTTCTTCCACTCTTGCCATGGTACGATCATGACCCTTCAAGATATATTTGAACAAATATTTTACAGCTCGGATGCTTGCTGCTACTTCGACATTCATATGGCACTGATATTTTAGCAACAAGAAACGATTATAAGGTACCACACTGCCGTTGTCAAAGCGGTGCCCTGCATTTATACAATACTAGCAAATTGGGCGGCGGGCGCCGCCTTTGTATCTAGAGTTGAGCTTGTTTGATGCAACCACTGAAGTTACACAATCAGAAAAAGACCTCATTGGATGTTTTTCAAATGAGATGCTCTGAATGGGGGCCTCTCACAAGTAGATTTTTAAGGCAATTGAATAAAAAATTAAATCTTGGTCAAGTCTGCCGTGTGATCTAAGGCAATTTGCATGTCTGAATGGTTTGAATTGACAAACCAAAGGAGTTTTTTGATCCTCTCAAAAAGCTTCTTTTGAGATGCTCTTGATGAGGACATCTCAGAAGTACTCTTGGATCCTTACCCAGCTACGTACACAAGATGCACGTATGATTGGCAGATTTTTCAAGCCTTTCATTGACTTTGGTGCTGTGTACCATAGCATATTTTGATCATTGATATATTGAAATAGGCAAGTTTTGAGCAGTACCCTGTAAACTTTCCTACAGAACTTTGGCATTTCAAAGCATGTAAAAATCCAAGAGTTGAAGACTCTCCCTTGGGTTGAAAGCACCAATGGAAAACAGGTGCTGGAGAATAACTGAAGTTTAGCTTAACAACGCCCTCTCTGCGCGGCCGCATCAGTGCCCTTGCAGAGGGGCTCATGACTAATCTTAGAATTTTGGCGTGAGGACTACAAGGATTAAGGGTCCTTAAGTAGTTTTTTGGAATTTAATGCTTCCCTCACAAACAAACTTCACCTGAATCCCCAGTGGAATTTGTTTTAATAAACATTCTGCATAATTTTGTAGCCTAGTATCATGCCTAGGCTGAATGGTGTGGCCAAAAAAGTAGCTTGATGATTGTCACAAAATGCCTGTTTTGTTACTTTTTTGAATTCAAAAAGTGAGTATGGTGTGAATTTATGGTGCACACCCTTCTACAAGTAGGACATAAGGCTTGAAAACTTGCCTCAAGAATAGCATGATGGGGCTGTGTTTCCCTCTTGATAGTAAGAGATTCACCTGTAGAAAATCATTTGAATTTAAACAACTTTTGCTACAGGGTAAACTGATGTTTGTCAGTGAGGGAAGCGGTTAAACAAGAAAAAGTACTTAAGGAGACTTAATCCTTGTAGTCCTTGAAACAGGAATTGATGATCAGTCATAAGCCCCTCTGCAAGGGTGTGGGTGCGGTTGCACAGAGAGGGCTTTGTTAAGCTAAAACTGAAGTAACCATTTTTACTTTTGTTTCATCCAGAAGTCTTGGTATCTAATTGAATAGTCTTCCTTCATTTCAATAAAGGGCATGATCATGGATCTTTGACCAAAAATGTTTTTCAATACTCATGGAAAGTACGGTAAATAAACTGTAAATGATAGAGTTGAAAGCCACTGATTCATCAACCACAAAAATTTGGCTGTTAAAATTGTGGGTTTGCATCTGCTGATTCAAATGTAGTTGACAAACTTCTCAAAGAGAGGTTGTCCCACTGTATTTGGTGTATCAAACACATGCAATAAAGAACTCAGTTGCTGCTTTGTGTCCTAGTGATATCTAACACTGCACAGATGTAGTATTTTTCGGCTATGCAAAATGATTAGAATTAATGTCAAAAATAATTAAAAAAGAGTTGAAAGCCACTGATTCATCAACCACAAAAATTTGGCTGTTAAAATTGTGGGTTTGCATCTGCTGATTCAAATGTAGTTGACAAACTTCTCAAAGAGAGGTTGTCCCACTGTATTTGGTGTATCAAACACATGCAATAAAGAACTCAGTTGCTAATACTACATTTTCCCAGTGTAACCGGGTTCCGGCTGTGATCCTGGAAAATCCCCTGAAAACCAATTTACAACACACTCAATAGCCAAGCAGAGTAACAATTGCTATTTATTCTGGACTGCTGAAGAGCTTTTGGCAGAGGCTTGAGCACTATTTTAATCATTACTGTGTTATCCTGAAGATGAAAAGGGTTGGAAACTGTGATAAAATTCTTGTGCAGAGTCTTGAATCATCTGAATGAACTGTCAAACAAATTGAAACAAAGTCTCATCTCCCATAAGACACAAAAATGACCACCCAAGCTGAGTAAATTTGCACAGATTTGATAGAAAAGCTATGTTGTTCACCTGGATGGTTTTTGGTATATTGTTATTTGTGATCAAATCTATATTATAAGACTTAATTGAACTTTAACCTTTGAACAAAGAACAATGAAATACATCTACACTTCAAAGTTTTCCAATTAGTAATTGAAGTGAAGGAGTGAAATATGTGTTCAAAATTGATCAGATTCCAAGATGATGATAAACTGCCATGTGATTCATTGACTTTTTGATATAAGCACCATCTGGATTCTATTAATTTTTCACGTTTCCATTTTTCAACCACCACATTCATTCATCCAGCGCTATTGATTGATCAACTTGCTTGCAACCACTACTCTTTGAAGGCAAAGATCAGAATCCCATCAAAGCTATGAAGCTTGTCAAATCTGGCTTCAATTATGAGCTTCAGGTCCTATTCAATTGGAATCATTGAGCCTTCAATAAATGTTTACCTTTGATATTATAACCCAATTTTACATAGAATCATTAAACTCTAGTTTAATCCAACTTGCAACCACCTTCTGCAACCTTTGATTTTTCTCTGGATGTTTACCACCATTGGTCAAAAGAAGGCACATAAATTGCAAATATATTGCCAAGTGCCTGTTAAAAGCCATACAAATAGGTATCTTTAAATCAATAAATCAACACTAATTCAGAGCCTTTCCACAAACCTAGCATCAATGTTTAAAAGAATACAATTGAAATGTTCCGCAACCACTTTGGCTTTAGTAGATGCAATCCAATCTATTTTCTCCTCTGCTGTTTCTTCCTTAATCAATTTCTCAATCTCTTCTTCTTCCATTTTCAACATTCCAGTTAAAGAAAGTATAACCAAAAAATAGTCACTTAAATTTTGAAGAAGGGAAAAGAGGAAGACAGCTCAACTGAATTGAATCATCTTCAATCCTTCTAATTGAAACCCAATCATTCTCAAATTGTTGATTCCTGAGTGGTTTTAATTGCATCAATAAACTTGGTTTTAATACAAAAAATTCTCTGATTTCTTGATTTGATTAACCTTTTCCTCATCTTCATTATTGCAATTTTGTCTGAAATTAAAAACCTCTTAACAATGATGATGTTGTTGTTGAATTTGGAGTTTTTTATTTGGTTTTTAGTTGGTGTTTCTATACAATAATATTATCTCCTTCAACAACCACTAAGTCATTGTCACATTCAATTCCATCAAAAGATGAAATCTGTTCATGAGGTGTATTATCAAAAGATAAAGAGGTGAAGAAATTATGGTCATCAATGAAGATCTTCCAACAGATGATGTATTAAGTCTTTCAGCTAAACCAAATTTATGTTATTTAAGAATCCTTCCTTGATCATCTTCATCACATTCATACATCCTTCCAATTTGATTTCTGTCCAAGTCTGATTCTGATTCTGATCTGATTTGGGTTAAAGATTTTGTTATTGTTGTATGGGTTGGAATTCGTATGGTTTTTTAAATTGGGTAGTAATTTGGTTAGTCCAGGCTTGTTTCTTGCTCTTATTTGTTGTATCATACCTCCGTGACCTAATATTGAAGGCGTTAGATTTGTGAATTCATTCATGACCTTCTGTTTTGGTTCTGCGTTTGAGTTTTTGATGTTTAGATAACTCGCAGAGTTGCCATTGGGGTTGATTTTCCATTTCTTCTAGATCACGCATGCTAAGCCAATGTTTTGTTTGATTTATTTTCAACTCTGAGGTTATTCATGTCAAGCTATATCAGTGACGTGTACAAATTACAAAACAAACCAAAGGGAAACAAAGGCATCCAAATTTAATGAGCATTGCTCCCGTAAGTCAGTTGAGAGCCGTCAATCAATCTTACAGAGTGTTTCAAGCTGCACTTCATCCAATTCGGGGTGTTTTTCTGATCTATTGATTTCAATCAGAACGTTATTATAGACAGACAAACACATATCAGTCAAAAATAATGCCAGTGGGGGCTAGAATTGATTCGAGTCCCAACCATTCATAGATAAAGTAAAAACTTACCTGAGGAAGATAAGACTGATTTGGTTGGCAGATACAACAATTGGTAGGCAGAAGGGCATCTTGATTTGGGGTTTTTGAGATTGAATTGACCTTTGATGGAAGCCAAGCAGTGGCTCAGTGGTGTAATTCATGAGAGGCTCGAGTTTCCAATTAGACCCTTTTTGTTTCCACCAAACTTATGATGCCCTAGCAAAAACAACAGAGAGCAATGAAGGAGGATTCAGTCAGATTGTCAAAAGATATTTGGGGGTAAGATAGGTCAAGATTGCTTTACATTGAGTTGCAACGGGTCTGATTCAATAGGACTCAATTCAATTTGATTCATATGGATTGGATTGCATTGCATTTTGTTTGGTATCATCAGATCAGACCAGGTTTGATTGGGTTTGATTTGATTTCATTTGGCAGGGAAGAGGGGCTTGTGGAATATGAGCTTGTATGAGTCCGTTGACTACATAAGGTAGCCAAAATTTATTCAGTTTTGGGCGAATCAGGTTTGCTCTCAATTTGTATGATTGAGATTTCTTTGATTGTCAATATAAGGTCTGCATCACCATCAGTTGTACCAGGTGAAAAGATTTGAGCTCTGGCCTGAATAAAAACGATTCAATAAATTCAATGATCACGTTCTATGATTGTAAATATTTTGAAAAAAGCCATCGAACTGATCTTTTGATATGATCAATCATGAAAGATACCTTGTTGACTTGAATCTAGTTGGATGTTGATTGATTGAGAACCTAATGAACGCAGGAGATGAGTGATATCATCAAATACTAAAGGTGTTGTTTTTTCCCAAAGACATGAATTTGCTTCAGCTTTGGTCAGTAGACTTGATTGAATTGGTTCTTAAGATGCTGATTGCTAGTAAGAAACGTTCTAGTTTGATTAATCTTAGATTTGAGATGAATTGAGGCTTAAACAAAAGTAATCGCATCTAGAATGGTTGGTTTCAAGGTATGATGAAGTCAAAGCTCCGAGAACTCGAGCGGTGACCTCATTCCAAGTAATTTGAGCATCAGGCTTCAGGTAAGCTTGGTCAGCTTCATTGAGCAACCCGATATCGACCAAAGTTTTAATGAAAGCTGGGAATCCTTGATATCTCATCGTTCCACAAACAACAGTCTTGGCTTCAGGAATAGCATAGAAATATATGAATGGTGTTGAGTCTCGATTTGGATAAGGCACGAAAGCAAACGCCGGTGAAATGAAGTAAGGGTTGGCGTAGTTTATCAAGTCTTGACCTGCGACCTTGATGAGTTTACCCTTAGAATAAAGCTTAGCAGAGTCTAAGAGAGCTAAGAGGACTCCTCTTGATTACCAGGAGAACTTGTATCCTAATGGGTTGTTCGAGCTCTCAGGAGCAGGTAGACCACCGCAGTAAGAGATGAAGCCGGTGACTTCGCCACCCTCTTGATGAACTTCATCAATCCTCTTGATGGTGTACAAGTTATCGATTCCGGGGTCAAGTCCAATCTCGTTGAGTACTGTGATGCCAGCTTGCTGAGCCTCCTGATCTAAGGCTCTCATTGCCGGGCTGACGTAGCTTGTTGTGACAAAGTTCTTCTTGTATTTGATTGCGCTCTTGATGACACTTGCATGATGTATATATGGAATCAAAGAGATGATCAAGTCGTGCTCCAACACCGCTCGGTCTAACGCAGCAGTATCTGTGATGTCAAGCGAGATGTAATTGGCGTCTCTAACTAATCCTTCCACAAGAAAGAAACTTGGCAGTGGCCAATGTATGGCAAGCAATCGTCGATTCGTTGTCAGATCGGCGAAGGATGTAATCTGCAGCGGGTTCAGCAACAAAGCCAGACCCAAGGAGGAGAATTTTCTTTTTCGTGGGTGTGATGACGGCAGGAACTGTGCTCTGATGGCAGGAGCAGCTTCCCCAGCTTTCGCAGCAGTGATGGTAGCACGGGCGAACTCGGGTAAAACAAAAGCAGCCTCATCTACGCGCTTGTTGTAGTATCGAGTGTTGCGGACCTGTCGGAGTGGCTTCTTTAAGTTTCGGTCTTTGTCCAGAGAGCACACGACGAAGCCGATGGTTCCACTGGGGTAGGTCGAAATCGAAGTGTAAGCGTAGTCGACTTGTGGGAAGAGGTCCTTTGGTCCTTTGATCAACGAGTGGATGAGAGGTAAGGGCAACCAGATGCACTCTCCCTGGGTTGAAATCGAACCGTTTGGTCTCAAGGCATTCTTCATAAATTGGAAATACGGCATTCCAAACAATGTTTGTGCTGGACCTTCGTTTGGATCGGAACTATCAGTGATGATGACATCAAATTTTCCGACTTGATCTCTCAAGGCCTGGAAGCCATCTCTGATGAAGAGGGTCACACGAGGATCGTTAACGCCGACAGCCATGTGTGGAAGGTAATCTTTCGAAACTCGGGGAAATGCTTCATCGATATCACATAGCACAGCGGTTTTGACAGAAGGATGCTTCAAAACTTCTCGTAATACACCACCGTCTCCACCACCAATGACCAAGAAATGCTCCGGGTTCGGATGAGAATTAAGGGGTATATGCGCAATCATTTCCTGATAACTAAACTCGTCGATCTCCACACATTGGATTGCGCCATCAAGCACCAGAACGTTTCCATGGGCCACCGACTCGAAGAGAAGGACGTCTTGGAACTTACTCTTGTCCACATGAAGAACTTTCTTCACTTGTAAAGACGTAGCTTGTCCAGGCCATAGAGGAATTTCTTCCTTGAACCAGCCATCTTGGACAGAAGGGTGAGTTAATCCTGAAATTTTCCTAGAACAACTAAATGAAGATTGAAAGGTGAAAAATCAGGGTCAAAGTAGCTCAAGTGATACTGGTATTGCTTTGAGTCTTCATATAAGAGTCGTGCTTCTAGACTCTGAGATTGTTTTGCTGCAGAGTTGATTTCCACGATAAGCAAATCCGAAGGATGTCAAGTTGAATAAAAAGTCTCAGGTTGATAATCGAAAGTTGAAGCTTCAAATTTGATAATCGAGCTTTTTCATAATCATCATGCTCGGAGTGTAGCTGAGTTGGTAAGTCGTATCAATACGATGAACATTGGGTCATTCACCCGCTTTTTCATCTCGGATATGACCTCCAAAGCAATACGGCTTCGGTTTTCAAATGATATTTTTGTTGAGTTATCCAAATTGTTTCGCACGTTTTAGCTGTAGACTTTATGTACTTCAATGAGAACAGTGCAACTGACCTAACAATATTGATATACAATCTAATGAAATTGAGAGTGGTCATTGTTTGCTGATTGTGAGCGGTGACAATGGGCCAGAAAGTTCCCTTCGACTTGAATGATTGAAATATCGGCATAGTTTTTTGAATGTGGAAGGGTGGCCAACTCGGAGGACTGGAAGATGGTTTCAAAGAGCAGAAAGATGAATATAGGAAGTCTGCGAGATGACACCTCGCTAGTCGATCTGTAGGTTGGAGTGGCAGAAAATGATGGGGAATGAGGTGTGGTGAAAAACCAAAATTTTCACAGATGACAAGATTTATAAGTCATTTTTTTGCTCAACCATAGACAAAAAAAATTGGCCTCATCGAATTAAGTGCGCCACCAAATGTGATGGCAAAGAGAAGGTGAGAAAGTTGAACAGCTGGCAAAATAACGGACTTACAGAAGAGATTGATGATGGATGTTTTACCATGTCTGAAGAAAACAATGACACATTCCAGCACGCACACTGATGCTGTCTGGCTACGCTGGTCGTTGCGTTCTATGAGCACCAAATACTTGTCATTTCAATGTGAGGTAGCGACAACCCTCTACAGAAGTTGGCTCTACAGGGTAGCCTAGGTTGACCAAATAGTGTGATCATATCCGACCACACTTGTTTCTGACATTGCCAATCAAGGGGGTAGATTGTCTTGGTAGATGGTCTTGGTACACCGTAAGGAGTTTTGCGTGAGCCAAAAGGCTCCAACAATCGTTCCAGCTCGGCGAGCTAATAGGAAAGGGATTGTGCCATAAATTTCGTAGTCAAAGACGTCCAAGTTCCACAGACGATATGGATTGTTGTAGGCCTCCTTGTCTGCAAAGTATGTTCTGAATGTAGTCCTCAGGGAGAGTGGGGAAGCATATTCTTGAATGCCACATATATGTAATCACGTCGGGTCCCTTCTTCAGCCATATAAACTGCTGGCTCTGTAAACCTGCAGGGTAATCACCAAGTAAGAGATCCGGCAGATTGAGCTCGAGTGGCTAGGGTTAAAAGCATGATTGATCACATGTTTTGAATTCGCCGCGCCTCACTAAGAGAGCTGGGAGGATGATCGAGCATAGGTAAGTGACTATGAGGCGAGTCCGATGTTTCCAGATGTGGTGGTTTTGGACGCCGGGAGGGATTTTGTCGAGTTTTGGGTGAATCAGATTTGGGTATGACTGTATGATGATGATGATTCATGATGATTCCAGGGAGCACAATGATGGGCGGGAGTCAAGATGGTATGTAGGTCCAGGGGCAGACTCGAGGGTGGTTGATGATTGTGGCAGGCTTTCTGCAATCATACATAATGATGTCAATTGCTTTGGAGTCTGGACGGGGACCTAAGGTTAGATATGTAGTTTTGGCCGAGACAATGGAGGACTTAAGGGTTTAATCCAGTTTTGCCGAGAAACACGGTTGAGCCTTTAGTTTTATGATCTTCCATCGTTGGGGCGTTTGTAAGTTGGATATCGATTATCTGGCAGAGTAGTGCTTTCGCAAAAGGGTTTGGGGTAGCCAATTTTGCACTCCCTCCCATTCCAGCATTTGTAATTTTGACAAGGCCCGTGCATCATATGGTGTCCCACAAGGCGAAACAAGTCTGGCTCCATCTCAGGGTCTGGAAGCTGCGCTGAGATTAAACAATCAACCATGTCTGGGGTTGTTGGCCGAGACGCCGGGTCCAAAAACAAGATTAAGTGGGCATGAGGTAGACCCCTCTTTTGAAATTCAATGGAGTAAACGTAAGCTTTGAATTTTCCGAGTCGTCCCCATTTTGTAACGTCACTGAGTAAAGCGTGGAATCGTAAATGGAATGCTTGGGCGACGAGATCAGGGCGATCCTCTGGAATTTGATGGTCTTCCAAAGCCTCGGTGATTTCATTCCACTGTGGATTAGCTGTCATTGTGATAAACAAGCTAGGATGACCGTATTCTGCGACCAGACTCATGGCATCCTGGTAAAGCGCTTGCATATTTCGGGGCCCACCTACGAAGGTTGAGGGTAAAACAATCCTTAGGCCTACGACTTCATCCTCTACCTCGTTGCCAAGCGCTTCGACCAAACCATTGTATAGTTCAGCCCTAAGCTCCTTTTGATGGAAGCGAATAAAGTTTAATCGAGCATGTTCAACGCAGACGTACATGTCCACGGCGAACTCCTGAAATAGAAAGCCTGATGCTAGGATCACGGAATATGCTGGGCGTTTGAATAAAAGGTATGCGAACCACTTGAGGCAAGTCACTGATCCTTCTGGGTCTATCATAACACAGGTCAGAATTTGTATATCTGAGTATGCAAAACGGAATCACCCACTTTCTTCTGTTGGGTTTGTGTATGAGTCGTGCCATAATTGAGACCCATAGAGGAATAACAATGGATATCGGAGTGCAAAGTAAGCCGTATGCAACTCTGAAATCGGTTCGATTAATCCGGATTGTCTTCGCAGAATGATGTCACGTCCATGCCGCCCAATTTCGCCATTCCCGTCAATTATTGCAGCAACTTCGTTGGCTGTCGGACGGTTGTATCTCCTGTGATCAGTCCCGGGCACAGTCACTGTGTTGATTCGAAGTGTCCGCACAGGCCCGATGGAGTCGCAAATGGCTGCAGCTGATCTGAATGTTTGAGCGTAGGGATTGTGTTCATACATGAACTCTTGAAGCTGAAGCATTATGTCGCGTTGAAGCCTAGGCACCCGCGCACGTTCGATACGCAACGAAGCTTCGCGTTCACCCCCACCTCCGTAAATGTAAATTTGTGCAAAACCCGGGTGATTCTCAGGCATCGGCATCAAAGAACCTATGAGATGGAACATTTGACCATTAATTCGAAAGATAGAGTGGCCCCGTTGGCCCAGCACTGAGCCATCAACTTGCGCTCCAAGAGAGGTGAAAGAGAAAGCGTTGTTGTATTTTTGGATGTCTTCGCAAAAGTCTCGGCACCCTACAAAATTTCGGTCGGTCCACATTTACTAAAGCAAAGGCTTTAAATGCAAGACTTACTCTGGTCATCGCCTTTTAGCAGTTCCTTGTAAAAATCCGGGATCTGCTCCCCAATATTGTCAGGAAAATACTTCAAAGGCAGATCAACTTGTCCATGGTTGCAACAATTACGAAATGTAGCAGTTAATGCATTCAAATCTTTAACCCTACGTTCAGCCCTCCATCTAAACGCACCACACTTGCTGCATTGGTCATTCATAGGCCCAAGACGAAACGGTATCTCGCTGCGAAAATGGTGGAGTAAGTTAGCCTCCGAACCGAATTCTACGGCCCGAATCGCAAGGCCATGGTTTTGTCGCTGCATAGCACCTTGAGGCATATCGATTCTACTGTGTTAAAAAAGATTACCACCTAAGAAGCAGAGTGAAAATCAACCTTGGTATAGTGATCGGATCAAGGTAGCTTGCTCAAACCTGGTTTCAAGCTCTTAGTTGAGCCCTGTCCGAGCAGGCGAGTAGTAATTGAGAATGAATATGAGATATTCGTTATTTGACAACCTGATGCTCGTGGACTTGAGCATGGATGGGTGTAATAATCCTACTCGGCCTTATTATTCATGGTGTCGTACCCTCGTCTGCCAAGATTTGCCCAAGCTCGCATGTGCATCAAAAGGATGTCCCGAATATGTATCTCCTTGCGTACATAGTTTGAGCAGGACTCGTACCGACTGTTTCTAGGATGTCGTATTGTCCTTAAGAAGTTTGAGTTAAATTGTCGCGACGATTTCAAATTAATTCCTTTTCTGATAGTTAGCAAGCAAAATCTACTGCTTAACCTTGGGTTTTGGGTTCATCGCATCACAATTCAAATTATTGTGCAGCTCGAGCAGCTAAGCGTGCCCTATTCACGCATATATTTATGCGAAACATATTGTACGATTAGTTTGGCGAAAATGCCGAAGATGAATGTATTTGAGCATGCAAAACTCTTGTTCTGCTGATGTCTCAAAGTTGAAGCCGTACCAAATGCTATCGGGGGCAGGCTCACACTTTGCCGATTTTCGGGAATCGCATCATCCGATATGCTTGAGCATTATTTATAATTTTTAAGCATTCGTATCAAGCCAGTCGCAAAGGTACATGACACGTTTCCGAGCGGCAGCAACGAGCCAAGCATTGTTTTTTCTGAATCTATTACGCTTATACTCGCGACATCATCATTTCTGACGGAAACGTGACGAGATGATGCATTTGCATAAGTTCGCGGTTTGTGATTGCCAGGTGATTGACAGAGCTTATGATTGAGCACGAAAATTTACCCGCCGGGTCGATGAACTTTCACGTTTTCTATTTGAAGAAGTCCAAATTTGAACGAGATTGGTAGGTGGAGTGAGTTTCGAATGGGCAAGCCTCTAGCCTTGCTTTGAGTTTGCAACCCTGACCTCATGAAGATTGTGACTTGTTGCCAACAAGCGTTTGGACGAACCCCTAACTATTGCTGGGCAATTGCTTGACGCCGTAACCAGATTATCATTTGTCGGGTTTCGAAGATTGTTCGCGGTCTACATGTGCAAACGAAGAAAGCTTTATTTCACTAAGTGTATATAAACCAAGCTCTTAACCGGCATTTTATCACCTTCCCCCCAAAAGCCATTCCTCCCAAAACCCATTCAGTCGGCCCTTCAATTTATACGTACCATGCCTTCTCAATCTAAATACCTTGTAACTTTAAGCGAAGTCTACGATTATTCTATCCACAGTACCTTGGTTAAACACCACGCAAGATCAATCTATTTTTCTCAAAAGGAGCTTGTTGCGAAACTTTCCAAAATCCAGGCAGAGCACAGCGGACCACCGCTCCAATATACGATACACTTTTCCAAACGAGCCATGCCATACCTACGTATCGAGCTTATCATTAGCCAAGGCACATTACAATTTATAAAAACTGCTCTACCCACTATGGCCGTGTTGGTCCGCGTAGTTCAGTTCGATGCCTGGACCTTCAGGTAAATCAATCCTTTGGTTTTGTCTAATCCCGAGGTTGAAATTGACAAAGTCTTTGACACTTGGGCCCTATGATTGTTCTAAATGAAATCTTGTCAGACTCCCGATCAAATCAGTTTGTGAGCCAGACCTTACGCGGTTTCAAGTCCTCGATAAACCCCTAACATCAGATGTACAGTCCCGGGTCTCCAAAGCTCATCCCAAAGCTACCGAGGTCGCGATTCTCCCGCGCTTCGTATCCTTTTCCGTTGAATATCAGAAACGCGGCATGCCTCATGTTCATTTCCTTATGTGTTCGCAGTGCCGTAGTGAGAGCAACGGTACTCGGGCTCGCAACTACAAATTCTAAAGTTTTGCATTCATGTTGTTTTTCAAATTCAAGAATAGTGGCAAAATTTATTCATAATTTGTTTTGAGGCGTTCGCCTTTGAGAAAACTGTGGTAAACCATTTGAATTTTGGATCCACAATTTGTGTTAGATGATTAGTTTCTTGATATATTAAGCACTATCGTGTATCTGAGATGTCATCTTTTTAGGTCACATCACCGGGACAACCCTTATCCCGTAACAATCCCAACTCTGCATTTACCATAACCATTCTGACACAAGATGGCCTCATTGTCACAGTATGACTCTGTGCGTGATTCTAAAGTGTTTAGTAGATCGACATGCGTTTTGGCCACATAAGTACTATTACATACACACCTTTGTTTTGATCGGTGCAGTTGCTGCCACACACAATCTCTTAAGCATCCCATCTCATAATCGAATGAGCACAGCGCCTTGCGTGCAACATTGCACTTGACAATTGACGCTCAATGATCCTAAGGTTGAAATACACCGGTGTTTTTGTTGGTCACATATTTTCACCAAACTTAGCTCTTCCTACTGCGTGCCGCGCAACACTTCTTGAGAGAGACGCGGCCCAAGCTTGTGTCCTTGCCCTCCGAACCACAAATCTCAACTCAAATTTTGCTTTGAGCTCCGAGTAATACCTCAAAAATAACTTAGGCCGTTGAAAAGAAGCTTATTGCTACGCAATACCGCGCAGCATTGTCATAGCCACCATTGCATAGTTTCTGATTTTGTGCCACAGTTCATAGGTCAAATCGCAGTAAGATCCATGTTATGTATAAATTTTCACCGCGCAAGCCTAATGAATGGCGGGCACTAAACTTCATTCTTGAGATCGGGTGAGCTGAGCAAGTTTGTATCTTAACAGCCAGAGCACAGTTTCGGATCTTGATACCGCAAAACATCATATCACTATCTCAGATCTATACAAAGAATCACAGGCCTGTTATCAAAGCTTAAATGTAGGCATAGTTTTGTCTTACAGTTTGAACTGAGCATAAGGAATAAATATTCAATTTCGCATAAAAAGGTACGAAAATCATAATCCTCGCCCTTGATCAATGGTACAGATTGAAAAGTGATGACAATTGAGCCGCCGTTTGTTTGGTATTTGAGAACCAAGAAATAGGGTTAAAATGATGTCAAAAGCATGTTGGCTTTGAAGCTTGGTGATGAATCTAAAAATAATCGCCCATGGGTTTGATAATAGAAAGGAAAGAGCGATCGTGTTAGTGATTCCCTCCACATGCCCTCACCTTGCTCCCGGATTAATCCAACATACACCAAGGTTATTGCATCGAGCGATATTTATTCTTGAGTAGTCAAGTCGAGGGTGGAACTGCTTGAAGTCCTTCGCGGAGGGCGTGCTCGAGCCCTCGGCTTGGTTGCAGCTGTGTTAGGCCTCTTTTTGCTTCCCGTGCTTGTTGCAGGTGGGCCAACGTAGTCACTGCCGCTGGACGATGGCGGAGCTTGTGGAAAATCGGCAGGTGGCGCTCCTGTAACGGCCGTAGGCACAGCTGGAGCAACTGGGCTCTTGAATGGTGCGTTTACCGGCTTTGGTACAAACCTAAATTATGAGCAAAGAGGCCGAGGTCAGTTAATTATCCTGGTATGTTTTAAAACACATGCTTATACTTCTTTGGCTTTGGACGGTGTAGAACTTATAACCCAACAAGGGTTATACAGAGCTGGAAGAGGATAATCTACTAATAAAATGACTAGTAGAAGTTGTCTAAGGACTGCTCTTCTAAAACAACACAATCAGAAAGAGCTCTGTTGTATTGAGTACTGATAAGGCACCAGAGAAATATAACTTCACACGTAATTTTAACTTCAAAAGCACACTTTGTATTACTATCAACACTGCTATAGTGTTATTCCCAATTGATAACTGAAAAAAATAAGCAATATCTGATTGATATTATTCCCAATAAGTCTTTATGACTATAAAACTAAAGTAAATTTCTCTTTATAACTGTAATAAAGGGCGTATTTAAGTGAACAGGTACTATTAAAATAAGTTTATGATGATAAACAAAATAATAATGGCGTAAATGATAAAGAAAAAAAGGGGAACAACAGTCCCAAAACCCTCTCAAAGTATATATAACAATGTACTAGAACTTTTACAATGGTCAACAGCCTCAAAACCAATCAAATCCGCCCAAAATTCCCTAAAAACCCTATGATGACGCAATGTAATGGTTTTGTTACTAATAAATGATGTAATTTTCACAGCTAAAAGTGATCAATGACGCAATAATATGATGTACAGCACTTCTTATGATGAATACAGGTGATTTTTTCCTTGTAAACTAGCTGAAAACCAATTTTTGAGATTACGAATTTTTTCAGATGTGCTCCAATTTTTGATTACTAAAGTGCATCTTGTAGCCCACGTGTTACTGATCATTTCTGACACCTACATGACCTACTTCTGATGAGTGATGAGTAAGATATTGAGTTGTGAAGTTAAGGTTTTTAGTGTTACATATGACTTGTGACTGTAAATTCGAGATTCACACCAATTCTTTATTTGCCTTATAACTTTTTACACACACCTCCGTTACTAATGATTTAAAGTTTGTACATTATGTAATCCACTCTTCTGCGTTGAATGAGCCATCTACCAACCTATTCTGACGTCATTTGACATATGTAATTAGCTGAAAGCCTCCATTTTCCACGAATTTCACCCATTTTCTTCACTTTTCACAGCTACTACTATCTTTTTCTTGCTCATGTAATATGACATCATCATCTATAGCCTTAAAAATCCCGGAAAATCCTCTTGGCAACCTTAAATTCCATCACTACCACTATTACACAACCAAACTACACGTGTACCTCTTGTTTACCAACTTCGAAAAAGTGCTTTTTTCCTAATAACTTCTGTTTCTACTTATCAACCTTGAAGATTAAAATTGTCATAGTATCATATAATGTTGTTCTTTCATATTCTAACCTCATAATACCCATAACTTTATTTTTACTAACCTAAAAACCATTTTCCAACCTTTATACCTATAATTTCGAATTTTTCTTATGTTTTTCTTTCTTTCTTTTTGTAATAAATTTGTAAGTAAACTATAATGATCTTAATATATCATGTGAAATAAAATGATGTAATGTTGACCTAATGACCAATACATAAGCCTACAAGAGCTTCAATTGATCAAAAACCTCCATTTCGAATTTTCTTTCCTGCTGAATCCTGCTAATAAACTGGTAAACTGGTAATTGTGAATTTTTTAATTGATCCCATAAATTGATCACCACAACGGCCTGTGCCATCAACGTCTCCTTCAACTTTAATTCTCTTCTCGGCAAATTTGCTAGGGTCCCGGTGTCCGGAGGTGGTTGAAGCTCTGTTTACCTGCGAATTTTGAACCATGAGCAACCTTTCGCAAGATCAGAGTAACGTGCAACTTACAATGACCACGTAGCAGCGCGTCTCTTCATTGTAGTCTTTGAGATATCCGTGAAATTGGCACTCGCGACCTTGCTTCAGGATACAAGGCACGCCGGATAAGTATTTGTAAGGCCGGATTTGATACTCGACGTAAAAGACGGGCGCAGGTTTCACCTATACTTATGAGACGAAAGTTAGCTCGTTTCAACGTGAACATTATGAAAGACACTTACTGAAGGATGATAATCGGTGTGTTTAACAGTAGCGACAATAGTTTTGAGAGGTTCGACATCGTCCTTGTTTTTAAGATGTTGAACGCAATCTTCGATTACATGCCTGAGTTTACTGACGATTCCAAGACCGGTTACACCGATGCTGTCTACGACGTCCCCCTGAAACTCGTCTGCTGACCCAATCATCGTGTAGTCGGACCCTTCGAAATAAAAATTATCTTTGAGCGTGTCTGTAGTATTGCTGGGGAAGAAGTTACCCCTCAAGAAGTAAATGAATCGTTCCTTCAGAGCTAAAGACAAAGGGCCGTAGCCGAGGGCCCTGATTTCGTATCGTGTTGGTTCACCTCCGTCGGCGCCCCCGCAATTTATAGAGACCGCATAAGTTCTGTATTCAGCCTTGCGGTTCAAATCAATTGAAACCTACGCAAAACGAGTATGTCAGATCACGGCTTCATCAGCGTATAATCTGTGATGCGGGCCTTGACTAACTTGTTCTTCAATTTCGAAGTTGCCGGAAAAATAAACTCCATGGCCCGTGGTTTTGTTTAAATCTGCCGACATCATAGACTTTCGAAGTTTTAAACACAATCAATCGGAGGATGAATTGTACGCCAGCGTCCGTTTGATGTGAAAATATAGAGGACACCAAATGTTTGCGACCAGGATGTAATGATTGGGTTAAAACATTGATATATGATGGTAGGATGTCAATCTTAAGGGCTTCCAATCGAACGACTCACACTGTGACGACCGTTATACTCAGTAATTGGGGCCTGGTCTCGGGCTTTGGATTTGAGGAGGGATGGTATTTATAGGCCAAGCCGGTGTTGCATTTGGTGAAATGATTAAGCTTAGCTGAGGCAACCGTGTGCCGCTTGTATGCTTTGGATGTTGATGATTGGTATGATGTTATATCTGTTGGATTTTCAAATGTCGCCAAAAGTCAGCCACGCGAAATGTGGACGCAGCTTTAGGCAATTAAATCATGGCAAGAGCTCGAGTCGAGTAACTACACCACACAATTTAGCTCGTGTCGATCTTGTTATTTTGATAGTTCGGCTTGTCGGTGGCAGAGACATAGCCATGAGGTCACTCGTGATGTATGAAGAGTCAAGTAAGGTTTTGAGCTTTCCGTGCTTCGAGCCTAAGCGGCATTGACTGTGATATCACATGCGAATGAGAAACGAGGTTAAGAGATATGTCCTTGGTTGAGGCTATACGGTGGATGACTTACCCGGAAGAAAATTTGTTGAATTTTTTATCATAGCTTTAGCACGTTCGGCATTGGAATGGACTGAATGAAAACAAAACGAAGCCTTTCAAGATTGAAATTAATATCCGAATTGGTTGGCAAATTTGACCGTACCATGTGATATGGGAGTGTAGGTCGGGCCCGTGTCTCGCTAGGGGGTCCGTATTTTGAATCTCCAAGCGCTCATCTCGTGTGTGCATGCCGCGTTGATCCATTTGGGAAATGGACCGACACGGAGGCGAAGTTGGAAGGTGCATGCATATAGCGTGAGCGACACACGCTTCCGCAAGTCTGGCTAAATAACCACAAGCTGAATATTTGTGCATAGGCACAATAGACCCTGGTGAAGTCGGATTGCTGAATGAGGCACACGGTGTGGCGTGCTATGCATTGTTGAGACAGCGTCGAGTCGGTACCACTTATGAATAGTTTTGCTCTAAAATTTAAGGTTCATCTGGGTTTTTGCGTCCCTGTTGCGCAGGAACCCGTTTAGTGTGAGCAGCTGAGCTCTGGTGTATGCCAACAGCGTAGAGAAAGGAGGCACGGAAAGTTTGCACCTCAGGAGACCCGAAAAGGGGCTCCGCTAAAGGTACCATACTCTTTTTCTGGGATTGACCAACGAACATGCCCCGTCCATGTTTTTCAAAAATAAGAACTCAGAGAACCATTTGATATGTCGAAATGTGTTCTATGACATTGGCCTGTCAGGCTTCTCCGCCATACCTTAAAGATTGCACAGGTAAAAGTCGCTGGGCTATAGCTTAAAAATTGCACGCGTAAAAGATGCGTGTAGCCTTAACTTTGAGCCTTTGCAGAGCCGGAGACACTAAGCATGACTTCAATATCAACATCAATAATGACAACCTAACAATGATGCGAACGGCACGA